TCCTCTTGGACATATGACATCTTGCAGTCCAATATAAAGCAGGTGTTGCACTAGCAGGAGAGAGAACTCTACAGCTGTCTTGCAAGAGAACATGAAGTAGAGCGGGGCAATCGGATAGATGCTCCCCAGTCATTGGCATGAATTTACAGAGAGGGCAGCAGGGTTAATCAGCCAGGCCAATCTTAAACAGATGGGCTTGTAGGTAATCATGTCCACTGATGATTCTGAAACATGCCACATCCTCCACCCTAGCTAGGGCAGAAAGCTGGGCATGTCTTTGGATATCGAGCAGACAAGACCAAGAATTACCCACAGCCCCTGTAAGAGTAGATATTCTTTCCTCTCAAAATTTGTACCTGAGAAGTTGCTTAGCATTTCGAAGAGGCATCGGAAGGCAAGATGGATGCAGTGTTGAAGCCACTCTGGCCAACTTGTCGGCTTGTTCATTTCCATGAATGCCACAATGCGATGGGATCCATTGAAGAACAACCTCTGAGAAATGAGTTAATAAGTTGTTTGCACTTGAACTCAAGTTTTGATGGGAATAGATTGTAGCCAGATATGGTCTTAATTGCGGCTTGAGAATATATGACAATATTTTGGCCAGGAGTAGCGCTAATAGCTCTAAAAGCCATAAATATTTCAAAAATCTCACCATCAAAATTGTCTGACCAGGCACTAAGAGGTTCGTTAAGATTAAAGGACTTGGAGAAAGCATCAGTTCTCTCTCTCTCCAGCCTTACCAAAGGAAGCTGTGGCAAAAACCATCAGTAAATAGATGTAATCAGTCTTGATCTGGATATCTTTCATGGGAAGACTTAACACAGCCAGGAGGGAATTATGCTTACAAACAGGCTGGACCAAAGACAGTTTAGCAGAAGCATATCTAAAATGACCCAGAAAGATAGCCGGTTTAAAGATGGAAAGTCTATTATTGGAAGCACCAAAAGCATTTGCAAGTCTCTGGAACTCACATAAGAAAGTATGTTGAGATTTAAGTCTTGTTTGGGACGGTATGTATTCAGGCCAGAAATGCTCCTTTCTCAATAATCACTCACCAACAGAAAGAGCAGAGTATTGACGTCTTTCAGATGGATTTGAAAGTAAGGTATAATCAACACAGAGTACTTATTTCTGTATATTGATCATCTCCTTTACTTACAAAAACTTAAATAAAATAAATTCAACCATTTTTTAATTTCTATTTGTAATTACACACACTTGTCTAATTAATGCTGAGTTGTGAATGTCTTTTTAAATATTATTTTTCTGCATTTATCATATTCCATTACAAGTAAAATGTTTGTATGTCTTATTTAGAAGATAGTTTACAACCAGATTTAAAATAAAAATCAGAATTCAAATAGAAGAGTCTCTAGATGTTATGTATACTGTTTACAGATGTAAGAGAATTACAAATTTGAAACTAGTGAGCTTTTCAGTAAGTTATTTAGGCATTGTGTAATACTCTAGTTAATATGTGTAATATCAAAAAAATCAATAACAACAAAACTATTTTTTCCCAACCCACTTATAACAAAAGTTATCCTTAAAAACTCACTGCTGTAAAATAATTCTTGTAACTAAATTAAATTATGAAATAAAACTTTACCTGGGTATCAAACACATTAGATAAAACAACTCCAAATTGATGATACAAGGCACCACTGTCACTTCTACAATCATGAGCAACCTGTACATTAAAAATAAAATGAAAAATCAAAAGGTATAGAAATATTATTTTATTTCCAAATTATTAAAAATAATTTGTTAAATTAGTAAATGATATTTATACCACAAGGACTCATAAAAAAGGTAAAATACAAGCTATCAAATCTTTATATATATATATATATATATATATATATATATATATATATATATATATATATATATATGTATATATATATGTATATATATATGTATATATTATGTATGTATATACAATATATACATACACTCTTTTGGGGAAAAAATAGAAGTACCATGAAATAAGTCATTGTTTTTGATGAAATTAAACTTGTGTACAGCTCATACACAAATAAGATGATAAAAATATCAAGGCCATGAGGCACATCCCTGGCTCATGATTACAGCTTGAATGTTCAAATCAGCAGAGTTGGTGGAATCATTCCTGGTGGTGATACATACTTGTATATTCCTCGGTAAAGAGTGATAGAGGTTCCTAATGTCATTATGCAATACCAGTCATAATGTAATTCAGCCAGGAATTCACCAGTTGTTGCTCCAGATCTGCAATATCTTTAGGTACTCGAACCTAGCACTCTACCATGCCCTAGATATGTTTGATTGGTGAAAGGTCTGGTGACTTTGCTGGCCAAGGAAAAGTACAAATGGCACGAAGGCAGTCCAGAGATATGTGAGCGGTATGGGGCCTGGCATTATCTTGTTGGAAACTAGCCCCCAGATGACATGCCATGTAGGATAATATAACCGGCCGCAGAATGGTAGAAACATATCATTGAGCTGTTAAAGATGTATGGAGGATGACTTGCTGTTATGCGAGATGGCACCCCACACCAGAGATTATGGCTGTATGCCTTTGTAAAACAAAGTCTGATTGAGACCGTTGGCTTCGACCGCTTCAGACATGAAGATGATGGCCATCTGCTTCAAGTAAAATGAGATTAATCATTGAATATTATGCAATGCCAGTCTGATGTCAACCATGATGATAGGCTGTGACAACACTCCAGATGACTCCTCCGATGTTTTGGGGTCAAAGGCAATAGTCTTGAAGGCTACTGTGAGCATAACCACGCCTCAGCTAAGCGCTCTGAAATGGTGAGGTACCATGGGAGGAGTGAAGAGGCTGTAGTAAGTTGAATAGCAAACAGTGATATCATTGGAGCAGTTCGGGCCTGTCAAACAATAATCTGATCTTGCCTCGCATTTGTGCATCTTCGCCTTTCAGAGTATTCAATTCATCAATCATTACTACCAGCACCTTTGCAGAGCTGTGTCTGTACATTGCAGGTGACAACCTATTGCTTGGTATGACCACCCAGCTTCACGAATTCTGATAATCCAGCTATGTTCGAAGTCATTCAGTTGCCTATACAGGCTTCGAAAAGGTTGTGATGGCATCACATTTTTTCTTCAGGGAATCACAATGGTGAAAATGGAAAGAGATAAATTCCCCACCCCCCTCTATTACCAGTTTTATATTTTGCGAGTTGCTCAGAAGAAATGCGCACAATAACCACAATTCATGCTCATTGGCCTTGAAAATTTGATCATTTGTATGTTCGATCAAGATGTCTTTGCCTATGCTATTCTTTATTGTAAATAAAATTAGCAGAGAGTAGTTTCAGCATTCATGAGACTTCATTGTTTTTAAAATACTTTTATTTAAAACTATCGATAGGACATGGTACAAACAGGAACAACCACAAGCACACAATGAATTAAAATATATACAAGTACAACATGTACAGCGACTAATCAGCAATGCAATGACATCGTTCACAAACAGGTCACAGGATGACATCATCAGCAGTGCAAACGAATTTGCATCAGCCTGTTGCGATGAACATGCAAATAAAGAAACATTACGTGACTCGTGTATTTAATTAAATACATAGTAGATATGAGAAAAGATTTAATTTTCTAACAGCCTACAAAATTTCATCACAATCCGACAACTTCTTCTTGGTACTTTGATTTTTTTTTTTGTAAAAGAGTGTATATATATATAATTAAGAAAATAAACCACTGTGCACGGATGTGATATCAACTTTTGAATCAAAAAAATTATTTCAAAAATTTGCTGTAATTATAAACTTTCAGAAAAATTTTGCATTCCACAAATCTAAATGATTTATTTTACTTTAAATATGCAAGAAAATACTCAATATACAAGGAAACCATATAATGCCTGAATATATTAGACCATATAAGGATGATACTTTTTCCCACATAGATAAAATAAGACAATTCTGTTTCACTTTTAAGGGAAATTTAGGCATGGAATTAAAAATGTTAATAAATATTTACAAGTTTGATATTCCAGGATAGAGCTATGATTAATTCTGAAAGGAAAAAAAAATATTATAGACAACAGACAAAAAAACACCTGTATTTTTTTAATGCAAATTAAATCGAGCCTTAAACCCAATTTGTCAAAAGGAAATATTTAAGTGAGAATATTAACATATTGTATCATAAACAGTCATAACTTTGTTAAATAATAATTAAAATTTTACAAAAGAAAGATATTTTTGCAGAGGAAAATAAATTTACACTTGTGAAGAATTACATAAGGCATGAAAGAAACTTTCAGTCATTCTATAATTTAAGTCTGACTCAAAATTCTCATAGACTCTTTTTCTGAGGAGAAGGAGCATGAATTATTTTGTATTTTATTTTCCTTTGTCCCTTTCCAGGAGAATATACTTCTTTAACACACACACACAAATTAGTTCCAAATCTCAGTTCATCTCTCTCAAAGCATTAACTATAGTTATGCATTCATTAATTTTGGAGCTAAGATTTAAAATACACAGAGTTAATTTATGTTTATGCAAAGAATTTACAAGAAGGGGAAAAAATAAAAAAAAAAAACCTATTACTAAACTTTCCAACTTAAAAACATCCACACAAAAAAATCATTCATTTAGAAATAAACAAGTGATGCACACACATAAGTAAAATATATTTTTTTTCCAATGGGGCTGCAGATTGGTATTTTAAGACATTGAACATTGCAGACCTAGAACATTCCCCGGGAGCTGGTATCATTTATTAGTGTGCAGCATCGTACAGGAGATACCAATTGCTGCAGGTAATTTTGATGCTCAGTTTCCTCCCCAGAGGAGGGCACCTGAGCTCTGATGAAGCACACTTGTTCTAGGAATTTAATTTTGCTGAGAGCACCCAAGCCACACAAGTACTCAAGAGATCTTTTACATGCTGCATAATCATACAACATGGACGCTATGGTACGATTTGATATAAATTTCTGCATCATGAAAATCTACTGACTTGGGCCTGGGTCGAACAGACAACCTTAGGCATACAAAGCCAGTGCCAAACCAACTAGGCTACCCAGTCAGCAACATAAGCAAAATATCTCTCACATCAGTGTTTGCTTGAAATCTATAAAATTCAATGAACTACACTACAAAATTCTCCAAGGATTACAAATGTTACAGAGAAACAAATTATCTTAAAATATTTTAATAGCAGGGGGGGTACCCCTTGTCTGACGAACCAAGCCTTATTGTATATACAACTGTCAGTAGTGCACACAGGAATTCTTCAAGGGGGGTCTGGGGTCGAAAGTTCACCATTCTTGGATCATGCTCCTTTTGATTTTGTCGATTTTCGGGAACAACAAAACACAGTAAAAAACTAATTATTAAATAAATAATTAGCATTAATTAATAAAATTAATCATTAATAACAAATACTTGATTAAATTTTACGTACTATGTATTTAAAATTATAATAAATCAGAAAAAAAAATCAAGGACTTGGGGGGGGGTCTGAACCACCAGGATCCCTCCCCCCTTGTGTGCGCCACTGACAACTGTTCATACTGTACAACTGCCAAACTGTAATTAACATGTATTATGCACAGTAATACCTTGATTTACACAATTTTCGAACCTCGTCAATTCATCTTTTGTTACAAAAACAAATTAGTAATATGATCAAAGTTGTCGATCTTGCCAGGCAATTAAATTTAGAGTGATGACATTTAAGAACTGTTGGATTTCCACAATCAGTAGCTGACATTTGGTGAATTCATAGAAATACATGAGCAAAAGCAAGACATTGAAGAACCCCAAGAGTCTTTAGACCCAGTTCAATTCAAAGATTGATAGATGGTTGGGTATTTGACAGAAGACAGTTTAATTGAAGAAGAGTTAGAAGTTTTAGAAAATAGAAACTTCAATCGGGAGCAATTTTTTTTACAAAACAAGAAATAACAAAATTGTTAGCATGCTACAAGGAAATTTTGAGGGAGAGAAAAAACATTCGTTTTGTCAGTGGCCTACTTTGCTAGATTTTATGAAACTTTTTAAATCAAAATAACTTTGATTTGCAATTTCCTATTTATGTTATCCAAGTTTTTACCAAATATTTTTTTAATTATTTTCTTTTGTCTCCAGTCTCAAATAAAAATAATTTATATGTATTAATATGCGAAATTATACCCCGACTTACACGTTTATCACTCAGTCTCTTACCTATCGCGTAAAATCGGGGAATTATTGTAACTCTATTTTATTCAATATATTGTAAGCAGAAAGACAATAAATTTAAAATGTTCATCTCAGCATTTTAATTTGTAGTTTAATTTCATACAAATCTCTCCCTTTTTCTGCATATGGATTTTGCAATACATCATCATACTTAACAATTTTTGCACGTTCATGCAAAACCTTACCATCTTCACAAATGTTAACTTATCGAATTTTTGGTTATGTATAAATCAATTTACTACATCAGAAAAAATATTTTTATAAAGAGATATATAATTTTTAAAAGGACTTGATGTGAGTGGCACAAGTGGGAAAGATTTGGGAGTTCACCCTGTCTCCCTTTTTGGGGTAGACCAACAGTTTTTTTTAATTTTTAGTAAACAGATTATATTTTAGCACTTTTGTTTAAGTTAACTCAAAATATAAACCCTCCCATAAAGTATTCTGCCCAGGCCATTATTATTTTTTTTCACATTTATTCATGTTATATATACATCAATAAATATCTTTAAGAAACTAAATCAATAGAAAATTTGAAATAACACTCCATGTCATTTGGAAGAAGTCTAATGAAGCAATTATTATATCAATTAACTGAAGAAGATCATAATACAAATAGTAATTCAACACAAAAATTCTTAATTTAGCACAAAAATAGACAATAGATTTAATTGCACATTTCAGAAAAAGACAATATCAGCAAAACAAAATGTATACTTTAGGAACAGAAATAATACAGGCAGGCATATAATTTCAAGATAATCACATCAATGTGATTCTACAATATTAATCAAAAATTTAAAAATACTCATATGAAAATTTATAAGTAAAGAATAAGTTAAATGATTATTTAATAGTTAAATCCAACTGAGATTCAAAACAGTAAAAAGTATTTAATCTATCTCATGACTTAATATTCTATAAAACTTCTTTAAAAAACTATTTATATTAAGAGGCAGAAAACTAGAAGCAAGCATTATGCAAATATTCATGAAGAATTTACTATAGTGGTGTAAGCTCCAGTTATAAGATATACTATACAATTACAATAAAAAAAAAGTTACCTTTAAAACTTCTTCTGATTCTAATAAATCTTTGAGGCCTCCATCTTCCATCAACTGGGGACATGATAGAAGGTCAAACAAAAAGACAGTTTCTTCAGTAGTTGCAAACTGCAATAATGTCATAGGACCTGAAGGTCCTAGATTGACACCTTCTCCATCAAATGAAATTATTTTCTCATTAAGTGACATAATATATCTAATAACTGCAGTACATTCTTTTGCTTTTGTCACTATTTTCACTCTCTTTATCATCCTCATAATGGTAGTATCAAGTGGTTCTTTGTTCAAAGCTCCTGATGAATTGTACATCAAACGGTCTTTATAATCAATGGCTGAATTGTCTGCAACTGCCTTCATAATCTGATTTTTCAGTCTTTGCTGAAAAGATTGAGGCTTATCTTGATAGCGACTAATACCACTATTGGGAGACGAGTGAGCAGAGGTTGCACTCACTGCAACAGGTGGTTGGGGACTAACTATTTGTGGTTGTGGAGTTTGGATGGGTACAGAGGAAGAACTCAATGATGGTAGAGTTATTTTTCTTTCAACCACAGATACAACATTAGATTGGACATGAAATATTTGAGAGCTCATTTTTAGAAAGGCAAGGAGATCTTGGGGATTATTTACCATTTTGGACCACATATCTTTAGGAAACCATGCTGTCAGATGGGCGAACAGCTGACTTACAGGCAAAGGACCTCTGTGCTTCAAAACATTTTCAAAAAAATTTATCAATTGATTAGTAAGTTGAGGATCAAGTTGTTCCTCTTCAGGAACTTTCGTTATCATTAAAGTTGTATCATTACTTAAATTTTCCAAGACACTTTTCAGAACTACATAATCATCTTTTACAACAAAGACGTCAGAATACTTCATTAGAAACTCTTTAAATTCTTTACCATGTTGACCAGATATATGTCTCGTCTCGGGAGTGGCTTGAGATCTATGTCCGAGCAAGCTTTTAATGGGCACTTCTGCATTACCATATTGTTCTAATTTAGTCCTGAAATATTCGACAGCTTCATGTGCATAATCACGTTTATTTTTACCATTGCTATCATCGGTTTCAGGAGAATAACAAGTTACACTAACTTGATCATCGGTAATAGTAAACAAAGACGGATATTGAGATAAAAATTTGCGCAAGCCGGACTGACTTCCACCAGCTATTTGTCTCATTTCTTTTGTAAAACCTTTTGTTCCAAATTGGCATGATAAATCATGAAGGGTACGGGGTTGACCCTTGTCAATCAACCGATCTAAAAAGAACATAAGGGTCATATTTCTGATATGGTCATAGTCCTTGCTGTCCATGTTTAAATAATGAATCAACAGATAATCTAGACTTTGGCACAAAAAATTTTAGGCATACTGCGACAGCAGCTGGGAGGCCGCATTCATACTACATCACATTAAAACCCAGCCATCTTGAAATACTACAGAATATCAACATCACACATCATTTCATAGATTAATGTGAGAAAAGAGAGTCTTTAATACCCCAACAGAAAACTTAGAAACACTCCCGCTAGAGAGCAGACCACACGCATATAAGTTGATGGATTACTGGAGTAACTGCTTCACCCAGGGAAGCTCAAACTCCTTTCATGATTAACTGGGTGGTTACATGGGTTCGGCTTTTCTCTTAGCCCTTTGCTGCATAATTGTTACAATTAAGTGCGATCCACACGCATGACAATACCATCGATCTAATAGAGAACGCTACATACGTTTCTCATACATATCACGTGACAGTCATGTCGATAATAGCTTGCGATCATACTAACATTGTGGCTGAGTGGTAAAATCTTCATTTTATGAGAAGGGCAGGCAAGTGCCTCTGCTCGAGGGCCACATTATAGAAACTCTGGGATACCGGGATGTTCTTTTACTTTATCATGTATATCGTGAAGTTACGAAATAAGTTCAATAGTAATAAAAGCTGATCATTATATATGAGCCCACATAAAAACACAATACGGAAGACCAAACTTTTTTTAAAATAACTTCATTCATTAGCCAATTTTGTACTTCAAAAAAAATATATAAATTGTGCCATAGAAAACTCAATAAATATAAGTTAAATAAAATAATGGGAGTTTTATACAATTTATTTATTGTGCTAATTTCATATCTAGAGCTGCAGGCTAATTTAATTTTAGAATCAATTTCTTGAGATGAGAAAAATGTACTCTATAATATTTTTCTACATTTTTTATATCAGGAGTGAGATTGCTTGTTGAAATTTTCATTACAACATGCAGGTTAATGTCAGCCAACTTGCATCTATATTTAGTTTTGTTTATCTTCATGCAAGAAAACCTGCTCATAAATATATGTTGACTAAAATTTAGAGAACATTTTCTATGTGCTGGATTTTCTGAGAGTTTGGCGGGCTTCAAGAAAACTCTTTGAAGGATAAAGGTTGAAGTCATTAAAAAAAACCAATATAACACTTAAGGCTCGCATTCAAACCAAAGCGCTCACGCATCGCGATCAATGTAGAAAAGAACGTTGCATGGGCTTTCGCCGGCAGGGACGACTGTAAATTTGTCGCCTCGTTATTTTAATTATTAGTCAAGAAAACTAGTGAAAGTAAAAAAAAGCAGTTTTAAATTTTTTTTTATTGATTAAAAATGTACTTTTCGTGTTTTTTTCATTACAAAATCTTTTATACAACTGTCAACATCAATTTGTATGCCATGTCCAATTGCCAGAATAGTTAAATTTATTAGCCTTAAGGAGGACATAGTCGATCTGATATAATTTTTGATTA